TGTTCCCAACTTGCATGTACCAAGGAGTACCTGTACTTCTGTAAGTCTGGCAGGACAGAACTCCATTTTCACCACTGTCTCATGGAGGCATTACTTTTCAGCATACCCTTCCAGATGAATGTTGCTAATACCAAAGCCCACGAGTGGACACATCATGATCCAGTCTTAAACCCAGTTTCGTCAAGATCTGGTTTGATATCTTCCTTCCACCACTTTTGCTTTGCCAAGTGGATGCTTTCCAGCATGTGCCAACAAAAATATTGTACGTATTTGTGTTCAATTCTTTATTGGAGTCCATCGTAACACAACAACATAACGGTCAAAGTTAAAATATGTTTCGGCTTTTTAAACCCATCATCAAGCAAAACACATGATTACTATACTGAGACACAATTAGTAATCATGTGCTTTGCCTGACAATGGCTTTAAAAAGCCGAAACATGTGGCTGTGTAATTTTAACCTCAACCGTTATGTTGTTGTGTTATAACTGACTCCAATAAAGAACTGTATACAATAACACAACAGGATGCATGGAAATGAAAAGTATTTGTGTTCCCCCATCTCAGCTACAAGTCCTTGATCTAACTTTCCTGACAAAACTGGAAAGCTGTATAATCAAGTTCCTTGGTGGGGACGTTGTGTGCTGTAACACTGTGTTGTAGTCTGGCAGGCGGATACCAGTGTGCTGGTGAAACACACCAAGCTGCAGTCTGATAGGTGGATACTAACGTTTTGGTGGAATGTGTGCCTCCATCTTTAGGATGACTCCAGATATCAGACATTTAGATTGCGTAGGTACAGATGTTTGAAGTCACAATATGAAATCAGGTCATCCACAAGCAGCAGTTACATTTGGCTGATGATACGGGATATGATACAGTGTACATTGGTAGAAGTTTAATGACATTTCAGAGGAACACAATGCCTTCAGCTTCAATTTTCCATCCTGAAGATGGAGGAAGTATATCTGTCTGCAGTGTTGGTTAAAACAAATTACAGAGCAGACTTCTCCTCAATAATATTGCGGAAAAGTCAGGATGTGATAGAATGCATGTAGTAGAAGTCTACCCTTATGAAGGTAGCAGTATGTTCCTCCAAAATGTTGGCAGACTCCTACTCACCTCTACAGCGTCACTTCCAACTTCCTCATGATCACTGCCATGAATATCTCAAATCTCACACGTAATACTGGTGCTTGTAGATGATTGTACTTCCATTTATGAACAAGAAATATTGACACACTACAACCATACAGTAATTGTGCTGTACTGATTAAACTGAACTGTGATCAGTGCAGATGAATTACATTACATAATGAAATCAATTTGTCAGAGCTTTGTTTGAACAAGTCTTCATCACAGTAGTGAGTCTGTTAGGAAATCTGTACAAATTAATAAGAAATGGCAAGTCTACCATTGCAACCATTTAAAGCTATCGGCCTGATGCTTCAGTGGCCCTGCCTCGGCTCCAACTGCACGTGGCCACCTCAAGTTTACAGTGAAACTTTGAATGCATATAAACATATCATGAAATTTAAGCATTTTTATATCATTTTTCCTAAAGATGATATACATTTAAATACTACACCAAGCAAAACTATTTTATTGTTATCTTTCTCAACAGGATACTGACCAATAAACAAAATCTTCAGTTTCTATTGATAGGTGTGTCATACCTTTTGTTTGAAAACCATTTCCTGAAAAATTAATTACCTATGGTAAGGACGGATAGTAATGACCATCAATTACCACAAGCAGACTGCTCTGAGTGAGAATGTTACAAACTAAATTCAACTCCACACATAATTCCAACCTTGCAAGTAACTGCACTAACTGAACAACATATTCTGCATGCACCTAATGGAGTAGGTGTACATGCTTTAAATTATAATTCCTATTTCATGAAGAAATACACAAATGTAACAACTTTTGTAATAAGGTGATTTCAAGTTAATTTCTATTAACAAAGACTAGAACATACTGAAACTGTCTTAAATAATTAGGTGGCTGGAATATATGTGACTGAGGTTGTCAGCTTACAGTTATACATTACTGATATTAAGAAAAATGCAAGTTTGGGAACACCTGTAGTCTGTCCGTGTACCTTCTTAAGTGAAGATTAGTAACACACCAGGATTATAATTCAGACTTCAGATAATGTTCAGCATTGACTGATATATTCATTTTGGGTTCAAATCATTATCACCATCTCCAAGAAGATGCCTTAAGATCAGTTTTACAGTGTTTCATGATCTGACATTATTGGTCGAGTCTCTGTGTCTTTCGAGTTTTTGTATACCTACAGAAGACACTTGATCATCCGCATGTGGATTAAACACAGGACTTTTATAAACACACATAAGATTTGTAACCCCCGTCCAGTGTGATTGATAAAAGTTGTTTTTAATTTTTCATCCTTTATATGTTTCAGTCAAAACGACCATCTTCAGAAGGATATTATCAACACTTATGGAAACTACTGTTACATGTCATAGATATATATGTTATATCGTTTAACTAATATGAAGATGTACACTGATTTGTTAAAACATCTAAAATTATTACAAAATGTAAGGACAAGAAACCAAACTGGTTCTAGATTAAAACAAATACTGAACATTATTTTGTAAGCAGACTAATTGTAATAATTTTTAGATGTTTTAACAAATCAATGTACATCTTAATTAGTTAAAAGATATAACATATATGTATGACATGTAACAGTAGTTTACTTACATGTTGATAATATCCTTCTGAAGATGGTCATTTTGAGCGAAACATGTAAAGGATGAAAAATTAAAAACAACTTTTATCAATCACACTGGACAGTGGTTAAAACCCTTACATACAATTACTAGTGCAACGGACCAGGATGAACCAAGTTACTTTTATAACCCATTACAAATGTTTCAGTGATATATCAGTGGAGCTTTACAATGATTTGCAGTAGACTGTACATCTTCTGATTCTGTTGCTTGTATAATTTTACAGCCTTTCATACTGGTCTACAACTGAACAAGGGCTTCTTTCTTCCCTTGGAAGGATACAATATTGCTACTGCAATCAGGTAAGGCCAAATATATTTCCTTTTTTTTTTCCCCCTTGGCACTACAGCCCCAGTGGGCCTAGGCCTACCTCCATGAACTCTGTTCACCAAATATAATTACTTCATGTCTGTTTTAGCTTAGAGGCTGTTCATCTGTCTCAAGTCCTATAAGCAAGCAACTAATCACTAGAAATTGTACTTTTCAGCTTACAGGTGCCAACAGGTTACCTAAGGAAGCAGGAGAACCACTGTACTCATCTGAATGAGACATCAACTCTGTGGTCTTCCTTCCGGCACACATAGGCACTGTTGGCAGCTGCAAGCTGTGTCTTATTTAAAAATAGAGACGATATTCCAGACAGTAAGAAACAATAAAAACATAAGTCCACGCCAAAGTTCAGAGTTGGTGCCAGTATATTTCATGAAGAATTTGCAGTTTGGTTTTTGAGATGGCTGCCCTGAAAAAGAAAGAAAGAAAATGTAGTAATGTTCATGTTAAACTTGAAGATCTCACAAAAAATTCCATGGTGGTTTTCTTATTGAAAATGAAATTTCATATTCTGCATCAAAAACAGAAATTTTTACTAAAGTTTCACAGTACCAAGGACGAAAGTCTTATTAATCAATCCATCTTTAAAATGACACTTTATAGTGTACAGTCTACAAATTATAACAAGACAAGCGACATGCTCAGAGAAAAACAAATATTTACTTTGCAGCAGTATAATCACAATATGACATTATCGACATTACTATATGGCTTCCCATCTACTCAGCCTTTAAGTTAAAGAGATTAGACAAATTTTGAATTGAGTTCACTGGTTTCATCTAGTAATCTGTGTTCTCATGTCTAAGTCTGTCAGTTAATTAATGCAATTTTTTTTAATTAGAACTGGTTGTTCTTTTCAATGAATGGAGACAAAAAACTTACTCATGTTTGTTTACCGCTACTAAGGACCATGAGTGGAGACTGCATTTCTTTCTGCTTCTGCTGCAAGAGGCTAAGCGTTCCGAGTGGGTGTCTGTTGAGCTCATCTGTTTCATTTACTGGAAGGAAAAAAAAAGAATTAATCTCCTTCAGATGGGGCACAGTCTGTTTGCCCTTAAACATTCTGTAATATGTGCAGCTCCTGTCGCTGATTATCCTAACAGCTGGCCAAATTTTAAGTTAGTCTGCTGCTTGAAGTCATCAATTCCTCACAACTTCCAACCCATGGTCTGTGTCTATGTCTACTAGCCTAATGACAATTGAACAAATATGCTGTGTGTTTTATGAGGAGGCTCTATATGACTTGCCACAAAGTTGCAGTACTCGCTTCTGTCCCAGGACTGAAGCTACTGTGTATGTTTGTAGTCAGCAGAAAATGAATGCACCAAAAGTGTGGATGGATATCTATCTGCTATGTGGATTCGTGGACATTTAACAATAACTAAAATTTGCTTCCTTATGGAGCACCATTTAGAAATAGCATCAGATGGTTTCACAGTCTCACGTGCAGCAGGTCTTTCTATAGAACTTTCTAGAAGTTATTCAGTACATGTTTCGACCTATAAGTTCGTCATCAGGTGTTTTAAAATTATAAATTATAAATTATAAATGAGGAAACTGCTGTGCTTCCATATTGTGGTTGTTGGTCATCACTATGCAGTCCCTTCTATGCGCATGTATATACAAAGTGGCTGACTGATCTGCCTGCTGTGTCATGCAGTGCAAGAGACACGCAGCATAACAACCCGCCACTTCGTATATACATGCGCATAGAAGGGACCGCATAGTGATGACCAACATCCACAATATGGAAGCACAGCAGTTTCCTCATTTATAATTTTAAAACACCTGATAATGACCTTATAGGTCAAAACATGTAGTGAATCACTTTTATGAAGTTTTACAGAAAGACATGCTGCACATGAGACTGTGAAACAATTTTGTACTAAATGAAGTGCAGCAGGGTGCTACAATATACTAAAGTAAAGTAAAGGTATCCCTGTAACAGGCCGTGGAGGCGCATAGGGTTGTGAGATGTTGAAGTTCCCACATTTTCTACACAATTGGTTCACAGATGGCAGCAAGGTTGTCAGCCCTGTGCGCCGGCTGCCCTTTACCCCCAAGAATATTCCTGGTACTCATTTCCATTAGAGGCTGAGTCAACTTCAGGGCCACAGTGTGGCTGGAAGGATTAGGTCAATTGAAAAATCCAATGACTTCATCAGGACTTGAACCCAAGACCTTCCGGCTTGTATTACAAATAAGAGCCCATGACCAGATCTGGACTGATACTCACACCCTCCTGTTCAGTTCTCTTCATTCGTTTCTCCACTTTATTTTTGCCAGGTCCTTCTCCATGAAATTCATGAGACAGGTATCTGAAATGATAAAGAGAGACAACATTAAAGTCACTGTATTTTAGGATCTTACAGAATGTGGCCATGTTTCCAAGTAACACGTAAAATCCTTTCATCCTGAAGTTTCAGCCATAAAAAAGGGTATGATCCATATATAGTTCAATCTGTTATTTTGTGAAATAATAAAAATATGTAACATTCCGTATTCCAACGCAAATTATTCATACAGCCAATAACCAGAAATGGGCATGCTACAGCACATTAAAGTCATAGGGACTGAAATGATTAACACAAAATATTTTAATAAAAGTACAATGGGACAATAATAATTTCAAGGTATGTTTCTTCCTAATTCATGCAAACTATCTGCAAAATGAACCATTCTGCCACATTCTATGCCTGCACAACAAACTATATCAAGTACAAAGTATTTACACACTCAAATGTCACAATATGTTGGCTAGTTACAAACTGTCACATAGAGAAAGGGAGAAAAGGAAGTCAAAACAACACGTATATATCAAAATGTTCTACTGAAAGCATCTGAGGTGGAAGACAATAACCTCACCACCCATGATAGGGTAATCATGATAGTGCTGGTCAGCAGAGGGACCCTACAATTTAACATGGGCTCTAAACCATTGGGGGGGGGGATCCTTTGTATTCCTAAACCTTGAACTCTGGTAGATGTGAAGGCATCATCTGTGAGCAGAAAAATCTGTACACAGATGCGAGTGGGGATCAAACTCAGAAACTTCTGAATGGGTATAACAGCTTACCCCAGGACCTTCTTCTTAAGGACCTAATTTAAGTGGCTCTAGTGTTGCTCCCAACTCAGTCACCATGTTAATATGGCTGATGGTAGACAACTAAAAGAACATGTCAGTGGCATGATGACAATACAGAGTTTCACATAAATCCATCAGTTGGTTCACACACATTATCGTGAGTATGGCATGGTAGTCCCATAATCTTGTCTGTTTCCACTGAAACACTACTTCCTCCTTGGATTTTTTTTAAATGGCAATTACTGTGGAAACTTTTCTGCTCTAAAGAATGTACTACCATTGGACAGGCTACCCTCCACAGTGTGACCTATCTTAAAAACAGATATGCTATTATCTGTGCTGACCTGAAAGCCTCCTCTGCATTAAGTACGTGTCCATCATCATCTGTGTAGTCGAGTTTAACATTTGGTTTGTAGCCCTCCTCTTCTTTGAAGTCTGAGGTCGGACCACTGTAGCACTCGTGACGCCCACACTTTTCATCATCTCTGAAAAAGATAAAGCAATGCTGTAAATTAAATTCCTTAATCAGTCTTGCTTGCTTACTTCATCCTGTCTTGACCATCATGTACACTTCCCTAATACTCAAGTGGGTCAATCCCGAGAGACAAGACGAGACTTGCAATCCAGTTATAGAGGAGATGACAAAGTATTCAAAGCTCAGATATTCTTTACCCTTCAGAATCTCCTACTCTACTCCATAATCAAAGCAAGTGGCAGATCCTTGTGCCCATGACAACTCTCTTCCCTAAGGTCTGCTGCAGACAAGACTTGACAGCTACAGGACAAATTAGGTGACTCAGTCTGCAGCCACCTGCTCACGCTAGTTCCTCGCTTGTGGATTTTTATACCCTGAAGATATAGGCAATACGTTCCTCCAAAACATCGGTTTACACGATATCTATACAGTGCCACGTCCCAAAGACGGCATTCTTCATGAGTGACATTCATTACATACCAAGACACTATACGGGGGGGGGGGGTAAAGCTATCCCCGTAACAGACCGTGGAGGTCCATAGGGTTGTGAGACATCGAGACTCCCATATTTTCTAGACAATCGGCTCACAGATGATGGTGAGATTGTCAGCCTTATGTGCCAACCTACCCCTGTAACAGACTGTGGAGGCCCATAGGGTTGTAAGATGTTAAGGCTCCCACATTTTCTAGACAATCGGCTCATCGATGGCGGTGAGACTGTCAGCCTTACGCACCAGCCGCACTTTAACCACCATGAAATTTCTTGGTACTCATTTCTGTTAAGAGGCTGAGTCGACACTAGGGCCATAGTGAAGCTGGAAGGATTAGGTCAATTGAAAAAAATTAACGACCTCATCAGGATTTGAACCCACGACCTTCCAGCTTGTAGCATACTGCCTCAACCAACTATCCTACTGCTTCTAATATTAAACATTAATGATTAATGTGTTTCTATTAAAACCCCTAACAAAACTGCAGTATATGATTAAATATGGTACACCATTTATGAAATACTTAAAATATAAACGCACAATTAAAACCAATACTAAAGTGTCAATATCTCTTAATTTGAATAGGCCTATGTTGTACATAAAGAATCTGCTAATGACTCACCAATCAAAACTTCATTCCAAGCTCCACGTTTGTCTTCTTCTTCCTGACGTGTCTTCTCTTCAATCATTTCCCTCTCAAAGTCCTGTAATGTAAATTTTGTACAAGATTAGCAGAACGCAAATGCGCAATCTAAAAATTACCAATTCAAAATTACCTTGAGATAGACTGAAATCTGAACTGCTTACACACGAACCACTGTAGAGAACATTACTGCACTGTAAAGTACTTACTATACTGTGTAGGATTCGAGCTTCTGACAGCAGTGGTTTTGAAGAGTTCTGTCATCTGGGATATAATGCCGTGTAGTCTGTCAAAAGTCAACAGACATTTTGCAGAAACATGTCACCTCCATCTTCAGGGTTGAAGAATAAATCAAGCAAGAAACCAGCACTGGCAGGTAACAAAGCCAAGCTTCTTACCTGCTTCATGCTGGCTTCTTGTTTCATTTATTCTTTAACCCTGAAGATTCAGGTGACATGTTCCCCCGGAAATTCGGATGATAGCCCAGAAGACAGAATTCTTCTGACTATACTGATCATCTTGAAACTTCTTTGCCAAAATATCTTTCTAATATCATATTATGCTTTAAAGTAACAGATCTATTAGAAGCATACTCTCATTCTGCCAAGCAATGTACACCTGCCAAACTAATTCTGAGTTTGCAGTGAGAATACTGTGACAATTAACATTCACTTCACTTTGCAATGCATAAAATCACAAGAACTATTGGTTTTTCATTTAGTCATGTTCTGAGCTATTTATTCATCCCTATTTCAATTTCACATATAATTCCTAGTAGCGTCTTTTCTACCCTTGTATCCCGCACATGGCACAGGGGAAAAAAATAAAAGATGGGAAAAAAAGACTGGATTTGAGATTCCTGTAGAGGAGATTAAGAAAGTCACTATCTTCTGGGAAGTCATATCCTGTACGTCCACTGACATTCCTTCAAAATTCTTATGGACCTTATCACATTATATGGCATTTTATTCCAGAAGGTACCACTTGTCAAGAAGAAGAAGAAAAAAGTTCTACCATCTCAACTATCACATTCTTATTGCATAACGAGTGCTTTCATTTCTAGGATTTCTGTTGGATGTTTCCAGTTCAGCAATTTATATATCCATTACCATGGAATTCAACTGTAATTAAAATATATTCTCATTCTGTTGCAGCTGCAGTAAATAACTGTACATGGGCAATGGAGTGTTCTAGTCTTGACACATGCTAAATCAAATTGCCTTGCCAAGTGTACGTGTATCTGCGGATGGTTATATTGCACTCACTAGTTCCTGAGCGTCCTCATCCGTTGCCAGCCAGACCATAAATGGGGATGTTACCCAATGTATGTCAGTATTCTGCGGTAGCATTCAGCACAATGGAACCGCCTTCCGTGTTTCCTTCTGAGCTTCTCTCCAGTACTGACTCTGCCACCTACAAACATCACAAACCACAAACAGTCAAATTATGTAGCTATAGAGCATTCTGTTTTGTAGTATCCATAAATGCAAAGCTGTCCCTATGCTTAATTAGTTATGCTCTAGATGGAGGCAAGTGGCCAGCTCCATGCCACTCCCACACCCGGGGAAACAGCCCCTGGTGCCTATTTGACAGGAGGCCATAAGAGATCTCAATAACCACAATACTTGGTTGAGGGGCTATGCTACAAGCCAGAAGGTCGCGGGTTCAAATTCCGATGAGGTCACTGGATTTTTTTTCGATTGACTTAATCCTTCCAGCCGCACCATGGCCTTGGGGTCGACTCAGTCTCTAACAGAAATGAGTACCAGGAATTAATTAAATAATTTTCCTGGGGAGTAAAGCATGGCCAGCACATAAGGCTGACAACCTTTGAGCAGATTGTCTAGATAATGTGGGACCCTCAACGTCTCACAACACTATGGGCCTTCACGGCCTTGTACAAGGATAGCTTTACTTTATAACCACAATACAAGAAAGGATGATAGTATAAAAAAAGTAGAGCTCTCCCTGTAATAGGCCATGGATGCCCATAGGGGCGCGAGACGTCGAGACTCCCATACTTTCTCGACAATAAGCTCACAGATGTTGGTGAGGTTGTCAGCTTTACACGCCGGCCATCCTTTATCCCCCAAGAATATTCCTGGTACTCAGTTCTGTTAGAGGCTGAGTTGACCCCAGGGTCATAGTGTGACTGGAAGGATTCAATCTAAAAATCCAATTACCCAACTGGGAATCGAACCCATGACCTTCCAGTTTGTAGCACAGTAAGAAAGGATGATATTACTTAAATGTGAACATATGATTTACTGATTTGAGGCCCACCACAACAAACTGTGAGAGAAACAATTTAATAGCCCTCAGGTTAAATTACTATATACGTAGGTCATACCAAAAGTCATGAGCAACTTTTTTTGCATGCAACCTGGGTACAGCAGACAAAAGAGAGTATGGTGGTAGGAGGAACCAGCTATTGTGTTAAACTTGAGTGTCTTGTGACGTCAATATCTTGTATTATGTGACCAGTATCACTCCTGACAAAATGGCCGACAACGATGTCGTTTTGCCAGCGTGCTGTCATTGAATTTCTTGTGAAAGAGGAAATCCCTGCTACAGAAATTCATCAGATACTTCAGCATACTTATGGAAGTGTGTGCATGGGTATGAGCAGTGTTCGAAGATGGGTGAAACGTTTTAAAGATGGAATCACCAGCATCAAAGATGAGCCTCGGAGCAGTCTTCCTCGAACAGCCTCAACTGAATGCAACAAGGAAAGAGTGGATGAGATCATTCAAGATGATAGGCATGTGACTGTGGACACAATAGCCCAAAAACTTGGAATAGGGCACAGTACAGTACAATACAGTACAGTACAGTACAGTACAGTAGATGACTGAAAGCTTGGGCTAGAGGAAAGTTTGTGCTCGTTGGGTCCCACGGTTATTGACCAAAGACCACAAAGGTCAGCGAAAAGCCATCACCTCAGAACTGCTGCAGAGATATTGACATGAAGGCGATGATTTTTTTGCTCTGTATTGTGATAGGTGACAAAAGCTGGTTTCACCATTTCAAGCCTGAAACGAAATGGCAGAGTATGGAATGGCACCATTTGCATTCTCCATCAAAAAAGAATGCAAAGACAGTGCCATCAGCTGCGAAGGTGATGGGCACAGTCTTCTGGGATGCAAAGGGGTTTATTCTGCCCAAATTCCTGGAACCTGGGCAAACCATCAATGCTGCTCGTTATGTCCAGATGCTGCACAAGCTCCGTCGTGCATTGTGTGATAAATGTCCAGGACAAAACATCATCCTACACGACAACGCTCGCCTCACATTGGAAGCAATTGCAATGATGGGGTAGGAAGTTCTTCCACACCCCTCCTATAGCCCTGATCTGGCACCCTCTGACTACCATTTTTTCGGATTTGCGAAGGATCAGCTGCATGGAAAAAGTTTTGAGACAAGGATGGCAATTCAGAAAGCAGTGCATCAGTGTCTTCGGATGGCTGGAACGGAATTTTACAGAAGGGGAATTTTAAAACTCCCAGAATGCTGGGAGAAATGTGTACAAAGAAATGGTGATTATGTGGAAAAATAAAGAAAGGTCTGTAGATTGAGGTGGTGTATTTGGTTTGTCAATAATAAAGCATGTTACTTTACAAAAAAATGGTGCTCATGACTTTCAGTACAACCCTCGTAGTTTCTCTAGGGTACAATGGTTTTGTACAATAACCAAAGAAGAAACATCATGATCAACTTTACTACAAAGTCCTATGCAACATTTTATAACTGGAACATATGGAGACACTGTATAGGAACTAAATATGGCATAGGATTCTGTAGCTAGGGACAATTTCATCACCTCCCACCACATACCCATAGGGCTGCTCCTCTCTTGTTTTTGGGGAGAAAAAGGAGAAAGACAGGTAAGGGGAAGATGGCCTTGACTGAACAAGAGAAATGACACCTACTACAGCCCAACATTTGTGAGGATTAAAAAGGAAATCTGCCGGTGTGATGTACCTTTTCTACACTGTTCTTTGATTCTGTAACAGCCTCCTGCAGCTTCAGTCTCCATGCTTTCTTGAGGGCTATCTGTAGCTCCAGTGCGCTGTCACTGGGCTCAATCTTGATGTTGGACAGTATCACTTCTGGCGCTGAAAGTTATGTCCGATTATTAATAACATTCAAAACTGCACCTGCACTGCATTTCCTTTCATGATTTCACAACACACTTCGTTGCGGGAACTATATAGTATCAAATGGTGGATTAGTAAATAATGTATTCAAAAGTCTTGGTGCTTGTCACCTGATTAGGGATACTAAGTCCAATCAACATTTGCCTGGTGGTACTGTGAAAAACCATGAAGAAACCTAAGTCAGGTTAGCCAGATGTTCCAGCGGAGATTCTTGAACACAAGAACACAGATCCATTTTTTTCTTTTAGTTCGAACTGTGAAGGTAATATGAGTCTGAACTTACGGTACGATTGGCCGTGTTTATCTCTTCTTGTAGCAGTTCAATAATTTTTGTGCTGACCTGAGCTCTAGTTTATTTTTCAACTCACAAAATAATTTATACTCAACATCACACAGCTCTCGTATGCTGAGTTCCATTAAACTACAAGAACAAAAACAGAATTAATTTTGAACTTTGATCAAAGTTAATGCTATATTTGTACATTTTAAACTGGATTGATAGCTCAGTCAGTATAGCGACAGGCTACATGCTGCACGACTGAGGGCCTGCTGCACTGGTGGATTTGAGTATACTGCATTTTGTCTTCGACCTTTCTGTGGGATGGTCACAAATGAAATTAATTCCCTACATTAGCACTGGGATTGTTTATACCTTGAACAGATATAGTTGTTTTGGGTGAGCCTCGAAACTGTTCCTGGCATGACCCTAATAGACGCTACCACTATCCTTCATGTAGTTCCTAACAGCCATACCTAAACCTGTTAAAATTCTGGTTATCTGAGTTGACATTCTTACGTGGTACAAGGCAATTATTTCTGTACTTATACTACTCTCTTCTGACAACCATTTGGAGTATAATTTTCTATAGCTGTGTAAGTTCCTCTTCTCACAAGCAGTTTACCTGTGGTTTACTTTCCTCGCACGTCTCGAGCCTCGAGGAATACGCGTTTCGTCATGCATACCGCTGTGCCATCTGTCACCTACGCCTGCGAATACAGGCAAAAACGGTAATATACATCATAGTTCAGTCGGTACTATTCGTACTTATAGACCAACACAGCTATTTCCTCCAATTCCAAATTTTCTAATCCAGCACACAAGATCGGCAATGGTGGTGGATCAGCCAGAAGCTCCTTGAATCCACCTCCCTGAACTTGTTATTTATATCTTATTTACCTTTTGTGCCAGCAGTCCAGAGAATATGACAGCAAACGATAGGTTGAATAGTGAATAATGAGTTGTAAAGGATGTAGATGGTGGACATACAACCCTAATTTGATTCCATATTATAGCATTTGCCAGGAGAGAATCAGGAAAACCACAGAAGGCTTCTGTCAAAATAGTGTTCCTTCCTGCATGGAACTTGGGCAGGTAATGTAAAGGCAATGGTGGCAGTTGGCTTTGTTAATCACGCACTGCGCATGAAGATGTAAGGGGGGTAAATGTATAGCTCTGCTTTTCCTGTCCTCAGTACTAGAGTGGTGAGAGGTTTTCTCCATCCCCTTGGGGTTACATACCCCAGTACCCCTTATGTAGAAGGCTGGGTAGGCCCTAGCACATCTGCACAATATAGGGATGAGGAAAATCTCTTACCATTCCAGCAGTCAAACTTTGATTCCTGGGTCATCCAGCTCACAGCTCGTTGCTATGCTGATGGAGCTCTCTTGGCTCCATGACTCACGTTGAGCACCTACTAAGTTGGGTAGAAATGCTGTGAATTTGCTGTCATGGATATTATTCACAATGAACCAATCCATAAATTGAACCATGGTTTTCTAGTCAAACTTGATATAAAATGGCACAGATTATTTAATTTGAGGAAAGCCCACTTCTTAACTACTTCAGGAATCCTCTAAGAATTATGAACGTAATTTTGTCTCTATCAGTCTGAAACAAAATTACTGGAATTACTCAGAACCCTTAATTTACTGTATTTACTGAAATTTTTAAGTTTGTTAAGTGTTGAGGGATGCTCAGGATGGGAAAACATCAATGAAAAATGTATTTTGCTTGAAGATAATCTGTATTCGACTGTATTTGTTTGCCAAGTACACCTGATTACTGGACAAAACGTTGTTTTCCAAACACTTTATTGTGTAAGTGATGTAAAAACATGAAAAAATACCAAAGTTTGCACATATTAAATATCACCCAGACATAATGTATATACAGTAGAACTATGAAGATAATTAACTATACTTTAATCTTCTGGTAAAATTATGAACTGCCACCCATAACAGATCTTTCCAAAAACTGATGGAACTTGAAGTATGTCTAATATAAAGCCTGATGGAGGGAGAATATCAGAAGACGTAATGCATCTTTGTATAAAGAAGCGACATTAGTAATTGCAGGTTGCTAGTCCCTCTGCTTATGCTTTAATATCAAAATGGAGGCTTATATGGGCTGGAGGAAAAGATTCACACTTTCTTCACCACAGCAATACAAGGAAATGACAACAGTATTATGCCCTGGCTGCTTCATGCAAGAACCCAATTTTGAGAGAAAGTTGGCTGAGCTCCAGGGTAGGTTTCAATGTCATAGTGATGAGAAAAATTCTAGCCCTTTTTGTGCCAATCCTAGTTGTCTGGCTCAAAGCCATTTTGCTTATTGAAATACCCTAGGTCATTAGTCAAAGCACATGCAACATTTTAATAATCTTTTCGACACGAGCTTTATACAGTGCTTACTGCTTCCTCTCCCCCTCCCCTCCTTGCCTTTTATAATTTACGTTACCTATACACAAACATACATTACTTTATGTGATGTGTGCTAATGTGTATATTAGTAACTGACATATTTTTCTTGCCAGCTTCCGGAAGTCACTTCCGTCTCATGGAAGCTGAGCAATATTTCTACTTGGAAGTTTTATGAGAGTGCACAAATGAAATGAAGAAAAGAAAACTTTTATGACACAACAAACATGTCTGCCATACTGAATGTAAGAGATTAACGTTATCAAGTTTGTGGGATTATATTCTTAAGACATGTGCCTATAAATTTGAATATGGTCTTCATATCTTCAATTAAGTTCCTGCCATCTTAAGTGTCATCACATCACTGACTGGTAACAAAAGCACAATTGTGAAAGTTAGTCTCTTTTCAGTTTCTCCAAATAATTTCACCAGTTTTGCTGGTATCCTTATATCATTTCACCTGTATTTCTAACTTTCAGTACATTCCTGTCAGAATTTCTATTGTGGTATAATCTGTTGGAGATTACCACTACAACAGGCAGCAAAAGTGAAGCCAGGTGACAATGGAGAGCAGACATCCCACACCACAGTTTAACATCTTGACATCTACAACCAGGTTACATTGCAGTAATTACTAATATCAGAGTAATATGATTCATAATGTATAGCCTTTTGAAGCTTATGAATTATTTTCTCATCTGGAATATTATTAGTGCTGTCACTAATGTTATGTGTAATTTGATTAGTGTGTTTAAGCTATAAAATTTGTTATATCAGTTTCGTGAGGAAGGAGACTATTATTGTACCACTTTCTAGGGCAAAAAAGAACTGACTGCAGTAATTACCTAGGCATACCACTGTTATAAACTTCATACAAAATTTTACTCAACATCTTTCTTTCAACGTTAAGTCCACACCTAGACAAAATTCTTTGAGACCATCAAAGTGAGTTTTGACATAACAGATGAACCACTGCCCAGATTTTATACATTTGTCAGATACTGAGAAGACAGTGGTAGTACACTGACACAGTACATCAGCTATTCATGGGCTTTGTGAATGCCTGCCATTCTGTCAGGACGGAACTATTGTACAATATTCGCATAATGTTTGGGTTACCAATTAAACTAGTTATTCCGATTAAGTTGTTTAAATAAAACCTATAGTAAAGTCCGTAATTTGTAATCTGTACATATTTGTCTGATATATTTCAGATTCAAATGGATCTAAAGCGTGAAGATGTTTTACTGCCATTGCATTTTACCTTTGTTTTAAAATATGTCTTTATGAAGGTCTAGAAAATCAAAAGAGACTGAAATCAAATGCAACATATTACGTGCTGGTCTGTGCTGATGATGTAAATCTATTGGCAGATAACATAACTACCAGAAGGAAAAATACAAAAGCTATAACTGGTGCTAATACGGAGGCTGCTCTAGCAGTAAATGAAGAGAAAACTAAGAATATGCTGATAGTTCGTCACAAGAATACAGGGGAAGATCACAACTAAAACTTTTTGCATCTGCTGTCTAAAAACGTAAAAACTAGAATATACAAAACTCTGCTTTTGTATGTCTGTAAAACTTGGTTTCTGACAGTAAGGGAACTACACAAAATGAGGGCACTGAGAATATTTGGATGAATCATGCAGTGGTATGACGTTGGAGAAGACTGCATAATGAGTACTTTCATAAGTTGTGCCCTTTGGCAATTACAATCAAGTTGAGGTGAGATGGACGAAGAATGTAGCATGCATAGGGGAGAAAAGGAATGTACATAGGATTTAGATTGGAAAGCCAGAAAGAAAGGGAACACCAGAAAGAACTAGATGTAGGCAAAAAGATAATACTGAAATGGACCTAAGAGCATTAGGATGGGGTGGTAATCTGGAATACAGAAGACACATTATGGTCTGCAAATGAAGAAGTGTATCACTGTTCATATATGCAAAAGAGAAGCGAAGTGGTCAATTCAAGGAGCAGAAGACAAAGAATCTGAAAGATATGTCAGTTCCTTTGACATATCTTATTTTGAATAAATTAACTTCTGTCCTGACAGGTCACCCGCCCATATATTTCTTTAGTGTTTATTACTCTCTCTACGGTACTCACAAAAAATTAAGTCTGCCTCACCTTTATCATCACACATGGCTTCATGAATCTTAATCTGCTACTGACTCCTGCACAGGGCAGCTACATAAGAGTGTTCCAAAAGTTCTGGGCCATTTTGCAAAATATAAAATTTTAGAGGAAAAGATTTCACTTGATATTTTTGGTGTTTGGCAGCTGGCCATGAAACACTACTGTACTCCAGAACATCCACGTGTGTGCAACCATTCTCTTAGCAATATTGTAATGCACATGTTCTAGCATTCATGACTGTACTCACAATGGCCAAGAGCCACATGAGTTTGAACACGTACTTCAGTGTGTGAACAAACAATTTACGTGACCCTCATGCAAGATGTACATGGATCAGAAAGTTAGAGTACGACTGGACAGAGGGGAGACAAGAAGTGTGCAGATTGGAAGAGGAGTTCATCAAGGATGCTGTTTATCACCAATTCTATTCAACTTGTACAGCGAATGCCTTACCAAGGAAGCTCTGGATGGGCTCGGAGACTTCAAATTAGGAGGGCAAATTATTCAAACTGTGAAATATGCAGATGACCTTGTGTTAATGGCTAAGGAAGAAACTGTGCTACAGGGCATGATTGATAGACTAATTGAAATTTGAAGGTGCTATGGCATGGAAATGAATGTGGAGAAAACAAAAGTAATGAAAATTTCGAGACAACCAACCCCAGTCACAATAAAGATAGACCAAAAACAA